GGTCACTCAGGAAGTGTCTGCGGAACTGAGGTGCACTAAACAAGGTCCACACGACGCACTGAAGAGGCGACACCACCAGCCACGACAGGCAATGCCTTGTGGGACCCCACGGATGTGCGACGCCCAGAACAGGCCAACCCGGAGGGAAGGGAAGCAGATTAGTCACTGCCTGGGAATGAGTTTCTTTCGGGGGTGATAAAAATGTTCTGGAGTCAGACAGTAGTGATGGTTGAACAACTCTGACATACTAAAACATCACTAAATGGCACACTTTAAAAGAGACAATTTATGAATTATGAGTTATGACTATATCTCAATAAAGCTATTAAAAGGGGTTGGAGGAACCGATACCAGTGGGTTCTGATGGTGGTACCACCAAAGTCTAGCCTTTGAATCAGGCAACTGGGATTTGGATCTTTTCCTATAAAATGGGCATGACCCCACACCCTTATCATGAGGTTCAAGGACAGGAGAGGACCTCACGGGGTCTGGCGCACTAAGTAAGGCGCCGGCTGCACTCACCTGTTCTGGTGCAAGCAAGCAGACACGCTTCCGAAGATGTGCTATCAAGCCCAGGAGGAACACATCCTTCCCTGTCACCATGGCAACATCCAACATCACTGAGCTGGCTGACTTGGGACCTTGTACGGCTTGGGTTCCATGACCCGAGATACTAGGGTTAAAATCAACTCTGGCAAATTCGATAATCTCACGTGATCATTTATGTTTGTTTTATTCTGTTACTAGTAAAGCTTCCTGATTCCGTGACTTTGAGTTTGTTTGAAAGGACTTACACAGCACGGAGCATCCACGGTGTGGTGCCCTGGTACCCTACAAGCTGGAGGGCGGCTGCCATGTCTGTCTTCAATGCTGTGCCTCCAGCCCAGAGCGTGCCTGGCACACGGGCACAAGAGGATGGATGGAAGGAAGGATGGATGTACAGATGGTTGGATGTTTAAAGTGTAATTTCGGTTCATTTTGAAAGGGAAAGAACTTGCGGAGAATAAGGTTGATTTTTGTAAAACCAGTATAAAGAAAAATCAATGCTAGTAGAGAGGGACGTGATTCATTCATTCACTCAGCACATATTTACTAAGCTCTGTTGTGGGTTGAACTGGGTCCCCCCCAAAGACATGCGGACATGCTCACCCCCAGCCCCTCGGAATGTGACCTTATTTAGAGATGGAGTCTGTACAGAGGTCACCGAGTTAAAATGAAACCATTGGGGCGGATTCTCATCTATCGTGGCTGGTGTCGCTGTAAAAAGGGGACATTTGGACATAGGGACAGACACACACAAGGGAAGATGATGAGAAAATACAAGGAAAACACCATGTGGAGATGGAGGCAGAGGTTGGAATCACGCTGCCAGGAGCCAAGCGACATTTGGGGCCACTGGGAGCTCGAAGGGGCAAGGAAGGAGGTGTCAGAGGGAGTGTGGCATTTCTGACTTCTGGCCTCCAGAACCGTGAGATGACTTCCACTGCTCCAAGCCACTCAGTTTGTGGAACTTGGTTACAGCGGCCCTGGGGAGGGGGAGTCGCAGGGGACCGCGGCAGAGGAGTGGCACACGCTGGCGCACGATTTAACGGCTCACTCAGGCCGCGGTGGGAGGGGCAGAGGAGGAAGGAGGGAGACTGGCAGGGAGGGATCTATCAGCAACGATCCAGGCAACAAATGGTGGTGGTTTGGGCTGGAGTGGGAAGAGGAAGTCGGATTTTGGAAATACTCTGAACATAGGTCCAAGAGGAAAAACCAGAGAAAACCCTGGAAAGCAGAGGCGAGGATGCGATGGGGTGAAATGAAGCAAGGCTGTCCGCAGAACTTGGCAGTGGCCGTGATAATGGACAGAGCAAGGCGTCTGAGATGATGCCTACTTCCCGGATATGAACATGCAATTGAGAAACCGTATCACTACATAATGGGTGCCTCCAATTAGGCACAGTGGCTTAGACTGAAATTGAAATGGAGTCATAAAAAGCTCATAATGTTGACTAAAGTCTACAAGGAGAGGCCTCAGGTTTTGCGGATGCCCACGGGGCTCCATGGAGTCTCATCATGATGGATGGCCCCTGCCCATGGCCGCTGGGCAGCTCAGTCTACTGAAGAAAAGCAACTTATTTATCTCAATCAGGCAGCCTGCCTCAAACCCTCACCTACGCGGCAGTCAGAGGCCTCACAGCCTGTCCCTTCTCTGAGCTGGAAGCCTGGAGGCCTCCTTGATGACTCTCTTAATGAATGAGTGTTGCGTGAACACGGTTTCCCACACCTGGAACAGTGCTGCTCCTTAACGTGCAATAAGGAAAGGGCAGAGCTGAGGTGCTGTGTAGTTCAGGGTTTTGCGACCTCAGGGGCAAACCTCTGGGCATGGATGAGTCTGCGCTGTGGGGGAGGCGCTGCCTCGTACACGCAGGATGTTTAGCAGCATCCCCGGGCTCCACCCACTGGGGATGTAGGGACATCCACTCCCAGTTGCGAAAACCGGACAGATGTCTCCAGACATTGCTAAACGTCCCCTGGGAGGTAGAATCTTCCCCGCCCCAGTTGAGGCCACTGGAATAGGCAGTGACAGACGACCTCTTGAAAGGGGAATTCAGGTAAAATGAACCTGACTTAGAGCATCTAAGGAAAGGCAGTAAAGCATCCAGGGAAAGGCACCCCCCTCTCGTGGCTGAGTCGGGGGGACAAGCTGAACAGAGGATGGCACAGCTGACCTGGCCCTTGAGCCACATTGATGACCTGTACCAGCCAACGCGCCTTCAGTTCTGCCTGCAGAAGTCAACTGTGACACGGTGTTTCTTCCCCCGCAGGCCCAGGTACGGCCCTAAACATTACTGAACACGAGTTCCCTCGCTTTGCTTCCCATCGGCCCACAGGGCATTCATCATCTCCCTCTTCTGCACCCCGTTCCTTCCTGCGCCAGATGGATGGGACGGATCTGATACCGCATTGCCAGCAGGCCTCGGGGACACCAGCTGCATAATGGGTCCACCAAGAACGCTCCCTCAGTCTCTCGTCCTGCGCCAGCCACAGCCAGGTGACGAGCAACAAAGCTGGTAGGACCAGGAGTATCCTGGAGAGGCCAACCTTCCGTCTCAGGTTTTCAGGACAAAATCACTACACAAAGGCTCTTACTGCCTTCCGAGAGTGAGCAGAAATCTTTTCAATCCTGAAACCCTTCCTCATTTCTCAAATCCAGAGTGGCTGAGCAGAAGTGAAAACCAGGACGCCCAGCTTTACTAATAGAGCGTGTTCTGCAAACCACTGCCTTTCATCAGCTGCTTGGGCAACACAACACAATTCCGGGCCCCGCTTTAGAAACAGGGCACTAAAGAAGGACAGTACCGATTTTCATTTACAAGGTACATTCAGATCCACTGGCGCCTTCGGTCTATGAACAGCTCTGTGAGATGTTTGGGAGGGGCCGCTCCCAGGCTGCCCCCCTGATCAGGAGGAGGAGCTACAGTTCACAGGGGAGAAATGAGAAGTGGTCACAAAACAGTGGGTGGCCTGTGGTATTCTTCATGGGGAAACGCCCCAGTCATATAGACGATTTTGTTGGAAAACATTCCCAGTTCCAAGGGGGCGACGGTATGCCCCTGGGCTGGTGGCTCAGCGATGGGCTCCCTGCTTCCCTCGCGTGATGCGACTTCGTGCTACCTGGGACTTAATCCAAGTCACTGACGGAAGCAGAGAACAAGGGAGGGCTCAGGGCCCAGCTGGTGGCCCTCTGCTGACCGCCCCTATCATGCACCCACCTGGCCAGACCACGCATTAGCCTCTCTCTCTCCTGCATCCTCCACCCCCTTCACCCCCAACCCCAGCTCAAAGCTACTGCTGGAGGCTCGGCAGGCCCAGAGCATGAGCTCCAGGAAAGTAAAGGGTGGAGCCGAGGCCAGGGGAAGAGCAGGAGAAGCTAGGGAGGTGCTGGGAGGAGCAGGAGGTCCCCAGAAAGGATGGGGTGAAGGCACCCCCAGCTAGGAGTTGCCCTCGCCTGGCCTCAACCGCTGTCTCACTACCACTGGGACAAACACCTGGGAACAAGTGAGCAGAGGGCGGTCCAACGAGGCACTGGGCTGCAGAAGCCGAGAAAGAGGGAGGAGGGGAACAGCGCCCGGTGGCAGAGCAGAAAGGAAGGGGCGGTGCAGGCCACGGACTAATCGTGAAAGGCCATTGGTCCAGGGGAGCCGGATTTGGGCGCACCACATTCAGTCTGTTTGCTTGAAACCGACCCAGTGCAGCGCCTCGCCAGTGCCTCTCACACTTCACCAGAGACAACAGACCTGCTGGTTGGCAATGTGGACTCCTGGCCAGCGTTCCAGACGCACCCCCGGGAGCTCGACTCCCGGCTCAGGGCCCCCTGATCAAGGTGGGCTGAGGACTGCCCTTTAGGAGAGCCAGCCTGAACCCCGTGCTCCCAGAGGCCACACGTCCTGGGACACCGCCTCTGCCTCCTGTTTGCGGCGGCAGCTGTGGCAGCTGATCTGCAGAGGCTCACCACATGGCTTAGTTTTATTCCAGGAGCAAGCCCCCCATGTGTTGTGGTATCTGACTGACTACTTATCGGTCAGCCGCCCCCACCTTGCAGCGGCTGCTAAGAACACTGCTGGCATGGATCCCGGGCTGAACGTGTCCTTTGGAATCACATCCACGGGGAGAAATGTGTCCTCGTGGAATGGATCTGAGTCGCAAAAGGAGCCAAAACCACATGGCACCAAGTCAGAGGACTGAGGCAAATGACCCAGTAGGGAAGTCACGCGGGGGTCCAAGGTCAAGGGCCACCATCCTGGCGGGACTTGAGCAGTCCCTTGAGCTTAAAGGAGGAAAAACTCCAGTTCTGTCCCCAGCAAGGGCCAGAACTCACTTGAACAGGTGTATTTTCTTCAACACGATGCCCCTCTGTCACTCAGCCTACTCTGGTTTCTGACAGCAGGCACTTACCTCTCCCCAGGTGGGTGCCCGTCTCCTCCCACCCCCGCAGGAGACCGGCGGGGACTCACCTTGCCAGTGATGCTTGTAGTCGCACATGCGGGACAGGGCGATCATCATGGCGCAGTACAGCGGCAAGATGGCAGCGCACAGCCTCCAGCTCTTGCCCCGCCCGCTCTCAGTGAAGCAGTGCAGCTTGCCAGCCAAGTAGAAAGTCGTGAAGCCGAGGCCAGAAAAGGCAACTGCCAAAGAGAAACAGCAGGTGTTACTCTGGCAGGTGGCGAGCAGCAGGGACGCAGAGCATCCCGGGCATGCTGTCTGCCACCGTGCACAGCCCCGGGCACAGGACCGCACTGGCACCAGGCACCGTCTCAGCAATCTGTGCTCCTGCTAGAACCACCCTGGTACGAAACTTCCAGCCATGAGAATGACCTTTCAGGCTTTCGGGTGATCAAAATCCCTTCTATTCCATTCTTTCCTTCGTTCATTTGTTCATTCATTTAACAGTGACATAATGGGTATCTGTCATGTGCCAGACAGGCACTATTCCATATTCAGGCGTGGGGAATAAAAAGAGACATCAGATGCTTGTGTCTGGTCTCAAGGCGCTCACAGTCAGGTTGAAGGGCATGGTCATGCTGATAGACAATTTCAACATAACGCATTGAGTTCTACGAGGAAAGAGGTATACACAGAACAAAAGAGTGAGACGGTGACTTAGATTTGAAGGGCAGGGAAAGGAAGGGATTTGGGGCTTGCTGGCATTCACTAGGATGGGACCAGAAAATGCTATGGAGGAGTGAGTTTGCAGAGAAGCCAGTAATGTCTAATTCCTTATTTGCACTCTTAGAAGTCATGGTTATTGATTTTTACTATTCAAAGATAACTTTTGGCTATGCTAAATCCACTGTCCAAAGTGTGGAGTTGGGTGTAGCCTACATAAACCCCCAGCTTTTCATCCAGTCTGGTTTAAAACACGGAAGTCAGTGAGATTGCAAGTGGGTCTTCTGTGGGCTTAGAACTACGGTCCTCAGCCCCGGCTACACATGGAGTCACTTTAAAGCCTGGAAGCTTTAAAAAAAATACCTCTAGCCAGAGCCCATTGCTAGACATTCTGTTGGTTCTGCTCTACTGGTCTGGAGTGGGCCCTGGTGTGTGTGCATGGCTGTGTGCGCATGTAAATATGTGTGTGTGTGTGTGTGTGTGCATATGTGTATGAACTCTAGTGGCAACCAGGATTGAGCTTAGATACTTTTGTTGAAGGCAGGTGCTATAGCTCCCTCCTTCTCTGGACACTGGCCAATCAAAACTTCCCTCCTGATTAGACAAAGACTGCTGAGGGGCGGAGCTCCTAGGTGTCCGGCTCGCACAGCGACTTGGTGGAATAGGTCCTCCGAAAAGGGAGTCCCCAGGTAGGAACACAAGCGTGTAACAAATATCAGCAACCGAATGAGACAAGGCAACAGAGAGGTGTTTTTTTTCTTTTTAAAACAATATTAAACCAGGTTTATCCCAAGGATAAAAATAAAGCACTTCAACACTTTTAAGTAATAATTAGCACTCAAACAGCACAGCAGTGCCAACATATATTGAATATTCTGTTTAAACTCAAAGAACTTATATGCACAACCCATGGACGTGAACTCAGGGGGGGTGGCTGGAGGGTGGAGGGCAGGGTGGAAGGGGGACGAAGGGGGGGAAATTGGGAAAACTGTAATAGCATCATCAATAAAAATACTTTAAAAAATAAATAAGTGTAACAAAAAATAACAAATAATAAAGTCCCTGGCTGGCATAGCTCAGTGGATTGAGCACAGGCTGCAAACCAAAGCATTGCAGGTTCAATTCCCAGTCAGGGCACATGTCTGGGTTACTAGGCCAGGTCCCCAGTGGGGGCCACGTGAGAGGCAACCACATGCTGATGTTTCTCTCTCTCTTTTTCTCCCTCCTTTCCTCTCTCTAAAAATAAATAAATAAAATCTTAAAAAATAATAATAAAGTAAGAATATGCATTGCCCAGGCCATTTGCTTTGATGAAGGCTACTGAATGATATTTGCAAAGTGGCCCCACAGGGCCAGCATCCTAACCAGCACTTCCGGTTCTTAGTTTCCGGTCCTCACCCACTTTCCTGTGTCCCTGCCATTCACTGACCCTCTCCCTTGAAGCATCAGAGTCGGGTGGGTGCGGGCTGGACGGCTGGCTTCGGTGGGCACTGGCCTCATCCTGACTCTCATGGGAAGGGAAATGGACTCCATTCCAATCAGACAGCCTAGCAAGTCTATCCACCTGATTACGCAAAGGTGGGGGGCAGAAACCAACTGCCCTAGGGCTCTCCAGGGTCAGGGATGAGACTCCCCAAGATTCAGAGGGGAGGCAGCCCTGGGTGCTGCCCAACTGGCACCTCTTTGAAAAAGAAACAGAAAAAAAACAGTGAGTGACGGCTGGACATGGAGCAGAAATGTGTGTGTGTGTGTGTGTGTGCGTGCGTGCGTGTGCGTGCGTGCGTGTGCGTGCACGCACAAGCACAACGGCTATGGACTTTCAGGTCCTGAGTGCACCAGCCAACACCGCCCGAGCCTCCGGGCACACTCGGGGCGTGGACAAGGAAGAAGCTGCTGAAAACCTCTGAGGTCAGCACCTGGGGCAGGTGGTTTGAGGCCAGACCCTCGATTCCTTCCTTGTCCACCAGGACCTGGACTTGAACCAGCGTGGCGGCAGAGGGCGTGGCTCACCCTTTGCTGAGCAGGCCAAGTGTATTCCCACCCACTCGGCGGGGCCCATACTGCAGGCCTCCAGAATGCAGAAGCATCTGCTTCTGTGAAAACGAAGTGGGATTCAAAGGCATTTTTAAAGGTCCAGTTCAGCAGCCTAGACTCTGAGGGCTTCCGGCAGCCGCTGGTCCTCTCCAGCACATTCAACGGGGCCCTGGGGCCGTACTTCTAAAGCAGCTCTACGCGCCCTTATTGTTCTAGGTGACATGGCAGGCCCCAAGTCTGTGGAAAACCTGTGCTAGTCTCTTTCTCACTGACATCTCCATAGTTTCTAAGCCGGCGTGATGCCCTTCGGCAAAGGGCTTCGCAGGCACTTCTCTCTAGCCGGGGCAGGTACACTGGGGAGCACGGGCGCGCGGTGCTCCTGCTTTTCCAAACACTACCTGGAGAGGAATTAGGCTGGACCAAACTCTGCTGGATTCAAAGGATCCCGGTTTTTCCACCACCTCCTCTCAGAGACGGGGGCAAGAAATGCTTTCCAACTCTAGCCAAACACCACTGTGTTCTCTTCTCGAAGAAACATGCACTTGAGGCTTGGCCGGGATAGCTCAGTGGACTGAGCACGGGCTTCAAACCAAAGGGCCGCTGGTTCAATTCCTGGTCAGGGCACATGTCTGGGTTTCGGGCCAGGTCTCCACTAGGGGATGTATGAGAGACAACCACGCACTGATGTTTCTCTCTCTTTCTCCTTCTCTTCCCCTCTCTCTCAAAATAAATAAATGTTAAAAAAAAGAAGGAAGGAAAAGAAGTATGCACTTGAGTCACTGAGGGGCTGTAAAGCCTGGCATGCTGGTGGGGAACAAGAGAGGGGATCGGTTCACTCAAGCAGCTGGCTTTCCCTTAGCCACAGCCCTTGCTTGCTCCCCCAGGATCAGAACAGAACTCCACGTTCCCAGACGTCGGCAGGGCACTGAACATCTTAGAAGACGAGGGTTATAAAATAGGGCAAATGCATTCACAGTTCGGTACCATTAATGACAAAAACATAATTAGAAGACTCTCAAGCCAGGGATGAGAGGATGCAGACCACCTCCCGGTCCCGAGGACTCAGAACTTATTGATCCACTCTCCGGAGGCTGAAACACATGGACAGAAATCACACGCGCACCCACAGCGACCGTGCTTTCGGCCTGGAGCAGGTTTTCTTGGCTGGAAGCGGCTGACTGTAAATATTTATGTGTTGATCTGGCTGTGAAAAGCGAAGATGCGCGCGGAGTCTCTGCACTGGAAGCAGATGAAAGCGGAGGGCTCCCCACCCTGCTTCCCGCACTTGAAGTGCTCGCTCAGCTGTCGTCTGTGAGGGCACAGAAGCAAAGCAGCACAGTAGGAGCTGCTGGCCCGGGAAGTGATGCAGGCGCCCTGGTCACGCTGAGGGGGAATCACTGACTCTTCTCTCTGGCTGCGCAGACGGATTGCCAAAGGGTTGTAACACAGTCTTCGCAAAGAAAGGTGTATTTACTGAGAAGGCTTAGGGACGACAATGTGGTTTGCCTTTCCTCCCCACTTGACTTTTAATTTTATTGATTGATTGATTGATTGATGTTTAAAGAGAGTGGAAGAGAAAGGGATAGAGAGAGGGGGAGGGAGGGAGAGGGAGGAAAGGAGGAACATCCGTATGTTGTTCTACCTGTCCACGCATCCATTGGTTGATTCCTGTAGGTGCTCTGACTGGGAATCAAACCCATGACCTTGGTGTATCGGGACGAGGCTCTAACCAGCTAAGTGACCCAGCCAGGGCTCCCATTTGACTTTTAAACTAAGTGGAAGGCCTTTGGACCCAAGGAGGGCAAGAAAAAAAAGCTTCAAGAACAAATAGGATAATAATCAGGGGACAGACACTACTTTTGTGCTACATTTTTCACTTTGGCTAATTATAATATATTGTCCCAAACGGATCATTCTTGGCACTGAAAATGGAATTATGCCCCAATACAGTAATCTCTACAGTTGTTGTTTTTTTCATTTTACGATGTTCAAAGAGTTGATACTGTCTCATCCCAGAGGGAGGCGGGCCTACCAGGTGGCTGAACCCACCTTGGGTTGGAGGGCGTTGTGAGAGGGATGTCGGGCATCTCCGTAAGACCACTCAGCCAAGGCCATGGGGACGAGCGTGTGCGCTCAAGGCCTGCAGGCCCCTCCCAGGCAGCAGCTTGCTATAGGGAACCAGGGACCTGGGTTCCCATCTCGGCTTTGTCATTAACTAAACACATGATCTTCGGCCAGTCACGTCCCCTCTGGGAGCCTCAGTTTGCTTTGTAAAATCAATCTGCTCCATGAGGTGGGGCCCCGTGGAGTCACGAGGGGCCACCACGTCACGCCATGGGCTGGGCAGATGGTGAACATGAACCAAGTTGTTGGATGTTCGAGTCCACGTTTGTGCAACAGAAAACCCTCTCGGTCTGGTTCCTACTCCCCCACCATTGCTAGATGCTCAGAGCCAAGATTTACTTCACTTGCTGAAAAACCAGTG